TCATCCACAAATAGATGAACAAACTGAAGTAGTAAACAAAAGTTAGAAAATTTGCTTAGGTGTCTTGCTGGAGAAAGACCTTCTTAATGGGATTTGATTTTACCCCAGGACGAATTTGCTAATCACAATTCCCTTAACCGAACTACTGGAAAAATACCATTTGAAATTATTTATGGCCAACTTTTTTCCCACATTTTAGACTGAACTTCAATATCCATGCCTGGAAAAATCAGTGCCAAAGCTACAGAAATTGTTGATCATATTCAATCGGTCCAACATCAGGTCCTAGAAAAACTACGTATGACAAATACTAAATGCAAAACTATTGCTGACAAACACCGAAGAGTGTTATTTTCAAGAGGGAAACTTAGTTATGGCTTATTTTTGACGACAGCGTATTCCCATTGGAACATTTGGCAAACTAAGTTGTAAGAAATTTGGCCCTTTTCGAATTCTACTAAGATTGGGAACAAATGCTTACTTGCTGGATCTTCCACCTCCTATTAGAACTTCACTTGTGTTTAATGTTGCTAACCTTTCTACATATGAAGGAGAATTAACTGATTCAGTGGGTCTAGTGACCTTCTTGCCCCTTACCTTTCCAACTGAGATCAAAGATGATCATATTGAAGATGTTTTGGACATTAGAACTACCCAGACAAGGCGTGGAGTGCACAAACGGTTCCTGGTTAAATGGAATGGACATCCATTAACTGACTGCACTTGGATTGAAGCAGAGGAATTACAGAGTCGTCGTCCTGATATTTATCAGCGTGTTACTGAGACGTTCACATCAGGATATGAGATTCTTCCGCCAAGGGAGAATTGATGCAGTCAAAGATTATCATTTTATATTTGTTTTGGACTTTATGTAATTTTTTGTCTATGTTTTTTATGTGCCCTATGATGGAAAACAATTGGTGATCATGCATAGGTTTAGTGCTCTTTGGTAATTTCTCTCCTTTGTTTTCCATTCTTGATCTTGTTCTCTTGTTTCTTTATTGGTTTAGTGGACATTTATTTTTGGGGGTGAAATTTCCTTAATAGGCTTGGCCCATTTCATTCCTTTCCTCGTGGTTGCTTGGTGTTCCATGCTTATTACCATTTGTCTTTTGCTGGTTGGAATTACTGCTATTTCCCATGCAGCTGGCAATTTATTTTTGCTGTTTGGAATTCTTGCAGCTGTCCATTCCCCTTCCTTTGTGCTGTTTCCAAGTTTTGTGTTGGCTCCTATTGATTAATTGGGGTGGCTCATTTATGGGACTGTTGGGTGCTTTTTCCTATATATTGGGGCTGTTTGCTGCAGGAAAGGAGGTTTTTCTAGCTGAAATCTAATTGAAACCTAAGGGTTTTCTTCCTAAGCTTGAGAGTTTTCATTTCCTACACCTATTTCTTCTTCTGGTCTTCTATCTATTTCAACTCTCCACAGTTTCCCTTCCACTTGTATCCTTCTTCTCCAAATATAAAGAGTGTGGTTTGTTGTTGAGTTGGTTTGTTGGTATTTACCGAAGGAGTGTCGACCTGTGTTGGAACAAGATTGTTGTGGTGAACAGGTTTGATCTTTCCTTGAGCACCAATCTCTAATTTTTAGATTTGCATGTGAGGTAACTTTTTTAGGTTGTTTTAAGGGAAGTTTATGTTTTAGTTTGTTTAGTTTCCTTATTGTTTTCCTATAACTTATTCCTATCAAGTTTCTTTCTGGTTGAGTTGGTTTATGTTTTATTGAAGAAAGTGTTTTATTTTTTTTCCAAGTGTTCTCCTATTTAGCCTTCTAGAACTTAGGATTCATCAAAGCTAGACTGGTTACAAGAGGATTCACTCAGTCTTATGGAATAAACTATATTACGAAACTTTTGCTCCTATTGCAAAGCTTAACACTATCAGTATTTTTTTTCCTTAGCAATAAATTTAGATTGGCCCCTACATCAACTAGATATCAAAAATACATTCTTAAATGGGAATATGAAAGAAGAGTTTACATAGAGATTCCAATGGTGATTCAGAAGTCTTATGGAAGGGTTAAAATGTGTAAACTGTTGAAATCCTTGTATGGATTAAAGCAGTCTCCAAGAAGAATCTTGGGATAAAAATGGAGGGAGTTCCAGTAGACAAAGGAAGATTTCAACATATTGTAGGAAAGCTTATATTCCTCTCCCACACCTGTCCAGATATTGGGTTTGCTGTGAGTATGGTAAGCCAATATATGAGTAATCCTATGCAGGAGCACATGGAGGTGGTATATCAAATCTTGAGACATCTCAAGAACCCTTCTGGAAAAGGTTTATTATTCAAGAAGAATGAAGATATGAAATTGATTCTTTATTCTGATCAAATTGGGCAGGAAGCCAGGTTGACAGTTGATCGACCACATGATATTATTTATTTGTGGGGAACCTAGTGTTATGGAGGAGCAAGAAACAATCTATTGTTTCCAGAAGCAGTGCAGAATTTGAACTGAGAACATTAGTAATTACTATTTATGAAGGTATTTGGATCAAACAAGTATTGATTGAAATGAGAATAAATATTGATGGCATGATAAAGTTGAAATGTGACAATCAAGTTGCAATTAGTTTGGCCAGGGATCCAGTACATCATAAAAGAACAAAACATGTTAATAGACACTTTATATATGAGAAAATAGAGAAATCAGAAATTGAAGTAGTAAATACCCCAACTCATAAACAACTTGCCGATGTTCTAACAGAAGCACCACCTGGCTCTCTACTTGATAAGTTTATTTGCAAGTTAGGATTGTACAACCTGTACAACCCAGCTTGAGTGGGAGTGTTGAATCACACAACCAAGGGGAGGCCACGTAAGCAATCCGTAGGCCGCAATTCGAGGGCTATAGGTGGAGATCCGTGGGCAGCAATTTGAGGGATGCAGTTGGAGATCTATGGGCACTAATTCGAGGGCTGCAGTTGGAGATCCGTAGGATATGATTAGTATAATTAATTAGATTAAATATCTTTCCTTTTTCTGTTTATTCTCCTAGAATGTATATATATGTAATGATTACAAGGAATAGAATTTAAATTTCTCTCTAAACAATTTCTTCACTAACCTCTTTACACAACATCTTAAAAAAAACCCCTATCTCTTGATGATAGATTTAATACATATAGGTTTTTTGATATGATGCACGAGATCAATCAGATTACACAAGTATAATATAGATATTTCTATTCTAGATTCTGATGTGATGTCACCCATGATGAGTTCATTCTCCATCTTTCGATTTCGAACGGACCTCCCAAACTTCGAACCGGTGGCCATAAAATTAAAAGTGAGATACAACAAATGATGTAATAGGTAGTACTATTATTGAAGCACACAAACTGCACTGATTGAATTCAACACAATATATAGAAGTACAACTGAGTACATTCAACTCCTAGAAAGAGAGTTTAGTTCATACAAGATTGATAGAAAGCTCCAAAACATATGATTTCAAGCAAAAATATAAACAGGGATAAGAAAAAAACAAAATGGTTTGGGCTCTCACTTTGTGCTATTGAAATCCTCCACTTCTTTATCTTAGCTGCTGTCATCCACTCCTCCAGGACCTCCCCCTCAAGGCTGGAAAAAGTCTCAAGAAAAGCTTGAAAAAACCCCTTTGAATCCCTAAAAGCATATAGCCTAAATACTTATAAAAATCCACACTCCAATTGGTAATTTTTGGCTCCAAATCTGGTTAAAATAGGGATCAAATCTGGCACCTAGGTGCCGAGTTTAGACGTCTAGGAGCCGAGCTCTCTCTATTTTTGTAATCCAAAAATTTCACTTTGTGCGACATAATGCTTCCAAAAGGTATGGCTAGATACTTAGGCGCTAGGTCTGGGTGCCTAGGCATCTTGTTCTTTATTTTTTGGCTCAAAAATATCTGATTTCCCGCCTAGATGCTTGCACCGAATAGCCAAGTTGCGTGCGTGGGCTCTTGAGGTCCTTGGTTGTGCCAATTTTGCTGTATGATGCTCGAACAACTATGATTTGCTCATTTTGCACGTCATGCACTCGAAATCTACAAAAATAACACTCACCCTACATAAATTCAAATTATTGCATTAGTGTAATAAAATTATGAATTAGAGTAATTATAATAACAACATCAAGATAAACACATCAATCCTTTATCCCACTACGTGGAGTTGGTTACATGAATATTTTTTCTCCATTATTTTCTATTTAGAGTCAAATTCTCATTTAACTCTAATAAAAATGTCATTTCAAATACTTTCAAACCAAGTATATGTAGGTCCACCTATACCTTTCGTAACATAGGTCGGATATAAAATATTTACTCTCCTAATTGGGTCATCGGAAGGCCGGCGCTTTATGTGATCAAACCATCTAAGACGACTCTCTCTAATCTTATCTGCCACAGGAGTTACTCCAATCTTTTCATGTAATACTTACCATAAATGTGAAAAATAAAGCAGGGTAAAAATGTGTAAAAATTATGTATGAATTTCCCTTAGATTACACGTTCTAAACTTTGATTAACCAGCAATACTTTCATCTTGATTTGCATTGGAATAAAATTGCTGGGCCCTATGAACTTATGAATCTTGATCTTTGCTGTCACCATTGCAAGGTCAACCTTGATGTTAATACTCTGATCAAGAAGATGCTCTTATTTAAGAAATAAGAGGACAAAATTCCTCAATATTTACTTAAGACAAGGAATCAAGAAGAAACGATTAAATCTAACTTAAAAACAATCATCGTTTTCTACACTACAGAAAATTAATCATCCTAGCTATTTATAATGAATAGCTGAGGATGTTACAAGTGATGAACTGAATATCATAAAATAACCAAAATGTTGAGACAGGATACAACTACAGTTATTTAATTTTGTAGCAAACTAACGGCAATAAATGTAGAAATCACTTGAAATATCTTGGATGTTGAATATGGATATACTGTTTTTGGTTTTAATATTGATTAAGTGGTTGCAATAGTTGTGTTTTCTGATATTTTATCTTTTATTACAGCCCAACATATTGGAAGATTGTCAAATATAAACCTCGCTCTGTATTCCAGTGGAATAGGTTACAACAATTTAAGTTGTTCCCAGAACCTCAAAATTATCATCATATGAGAGAGTGGGGACAGTTTTTGTCTTTTTTACAGCAGTCTGGGATGGTGAATTTTCCCTTTCTTGTTACTTCTTTATAAAGCACTGTTTTGGTAGCTTGCAATTTACCAGCTTCTGATTATTGAGGTTACTAGCTTCATCAAGTTTTCAAGATTTTTTATGCTTTGCAGGTTGCTGTTGTGTACACTGACCATTTCAATTTTTACATACTGGCACCAGAAAATGATCAGAAATGTACTTACTGTGTAGTTCGTGTATGGATAAGAAATTCTGCTTTGGCATCTTATTATAAAGAAAATGGTGTATGGGGTGAGAGATTCTTGATTATTTGTTCTATTTTCTTCGTTATATTGAAAAATTTATTTTTTTGTCAACATATGTTTTCTTTTCACTTTTTAAATAACTTTAGCTCGTATGGCTTAAGATGTTTCTTAATTTATAGGAGTGGTTTGGTTGACTGTCATCTCAATATATGTCCTGTTATTGAAAGGTGCTAGCTGTTTGGTTTACTGACATCTCTAAATTACATATTTAAAAATGACTATTATGCTTTAGTTCAATAACGTCTAGCTGTTGTTTAAAATTGACCGAGGTCTTGAGATGTCCAAACATCTCAATATTTCACTCTTTACAATATTGAAAATGCTGACATCTTTAAATACAGTAACATTAAACCGAAGTCAGTATTTGTGTATTTGATAGATAATGCATACATCTAATAACACTGGCATCATAATAACATTGACACTAAATAATATATAATTCCAGCCTTAAACAATTCTTAAGTGTTATTTAGATGTTAGCATTGTTAAGATCAATGCTATTAGGTATCAGTGCTATTCACAACTATTGTGCATTTATTTTAGTTTTAAAAAAAGATCAAAATGGTCCTCCAATTCTTTGTGAGGGATCAAAATGGTCCCCAACTTTTTTAAGGGACCAATTTGGTCCTTCAACTCTTTAAAATGAGACCTTTTTGGTCCTAACACCCAATGTTGAAGTTAATGATGTTAAATATTAGAATATTTTAGTTATCTTCTTAATTAAACATTTAATTAATATAATTTTCAAGTAATTATATCTTTTTAATATTTTATTAAACATTTCTTTAGTAAAAAAAAGTTTTAATTTAAAAAAATTATTTTAGTTATATTTATAAAATATGATTTGTAAAAATATGTGTGACTAAGTTGAAAATAATATCTATTTGCATTTGATTTCTCTAAATCAATAAATATCATATTTTATTAAATATGATTAAACTTTTTCAAATTAAAACTAAATATCG